GTCTCTGTAAATGTTAAAAGGAGTTCGGTCTAGACCTGCTCTATTTGAAAAGTGTCCTGAGATAACTTCTGTTATGAACTGGCGCTGTACAAATAAATAAAAATAAAAATTGAATGTCATCCTAACTGAAGCTGGCCTCTATATGAACACAGTCATTATTATTATAAATCAAACATTATGTTACATGTGCAGTAGCCTCAGTGGACGTTCTGTACCAGACTCCATTCACTGTTCTTGAACCAGTGAGCCAATAACATATAATAAATAATAATGATTATTAACAATAATGATATTCTAATAATTCATAGTTTCCATTCTTTTATTCAGCCAACATCAAATATCCAACACTGTGCTGATCTTCATCAGAAATCATCTTCATCAGAAATCATCTCATCACAGAGTCAAAAACAGCTGCTACTCGTCAACATGCACCATGTTCTAGTCTGTGGATAAAATGGAGTCTGGGGCCCCCTGGTGGCTTCAGGGGGCCGATGCAACCACACAGTCAGCATCCAGTAAGAAGCAGCCTGGATCCACAGTTCCAGATTTAATCTGAGGTTCGTCTCTAACATATCCAACATTATTGGAAATCAATAAGTGAGATTCAAACTCTGCAACAGAGAACAGGCATTTGACTCTGTTGGTCACATGGCAGCACTGTGTACGTTTACTGTTGCTATGGAAGATTTAAAGAGCCTCAGACATTCAGACACAAACACACAGTCAGTTTGTATTCAGTTTTAATTTCCACCTTAAATCCTTTAATGCTCCACACAGAGTTAAAGACGTATTCAGATCCAGACTTCATTTAAAACCTTTCAAACAGAACTCCCAGCATGCACTGCAGCGGGCGGGCATCAGTTGATGGCGAGGCAGAGCCACTGCAGGAAGGGGAGAAGAAGAGTTCAGTGATGATGTCATGCTGTGTCATGTGACCACAGGCTGGACCAATAAAAGACAAAAAGAAGAAAAAGACAGACACAGTGTTCAGTTACTGGTTCAGCACCAGTAAGACCAGTACAGGACTGGGTTCTACCTGCTGCAGGTCCAGTTGGATCTTCCCCTGGTTCTTCTTGTCCAGAGTCCTGAACATCTCTGTTGAAGGACACATTAAAAAACTTTATTTAAAAAGACAAACAGTGTAATCTCTGTACTGGGAACACTTGGAAAACAGGGAGCACCAGGAATACCGGGAACATTGGGAACATTAGGAACACTGGGAACACTGGGAACACTGGGAACAAGTCAGGATATATTCACATACTGAACATAGTTTGTGTGTTTGTATCTTTTGTTTGTCCGTCTGTGATGTTGTCAATAAAGTTAACTCACTGAAGAGCATCTCCAGACGGATCAGACAGCCGATGAAACAGTCGAAGTCGATGGCGTAACTCGTGTCAGCATAACGGCCGACGATCTCCTGAATCACAGCGCTGTTCACCTGGAAACCTGCAACAACAACAACAACAACAATAATAATAATATTAATAAAAAGAATAACAATAATAATAATAATAATAGTGAATATTTGGTCATCCTGAGGTTACTGTTAGTTACTCTATGAGGCTTTTACTTTAAAACAACAACCTCATAAAAACAATAACCCTAACCCACCACCAGAACAATCACCAGAACCACCACCAGAACCGCCACCACAACAACTACCAGAACCACCACTAAAACCACCACCAGAACCGCCACCAGAACAACTACCAGAACAACAACCAGAACCACCACCAGAAAAACCACTAGAACCACCACCAGAACCACCACTAGAACAACCACCAGAAAAACCACTAGAACCACCACCAGAAAAACCACTAGAACCACCACCAGAAGAACCACTAGAACCACCACCAGAAAAACCACTAGAACCACCACCAGAACAACTACTTGAACCACCACCAGAACCACCACTAGGACCACCACCATAACAACCATCAGAACCACCATCAGAACAACCACTTGAACCACCACCAGAACCACCACTAGAACCCTGGATCCTCCTGATGATCAGTGAGTCTCACCTGCTTCAGCCAGCGCCGCTCTCATCTCATGACTGCTCATCGTTCCAGAAGCATCGGAGTCGTGACTCTTAAAGATCTCCTGCAGGACGACAGGAGTTCAGTAAAGTCTCAGGTAAATGAACTATACAGACACTCATCATATCCACCGATCAGCAGTAACACTGTGGAACTGGACTCCCTGACTCACCAGGTATTTCTGGATCTTCGTCCACAGACGATGAAACTCCTGAAGACCCAGTTTACTACTGCCGTCCATCTGAGTCTGGTTAAAGACCATACTGTCTGTCTGTCTGTCTGTCTGTCTGTCTGTCTGTCTCTTTGTCTCTGAAAAATGAAACTGAAGGATACGTCCAGCAGGCTGATGATGTTGCGGCACGTCTGCAGACTGAAGCCGTCAGTTTGTAAATCAGATCCTACGAACAAACAATAAACAGTCACAGTGATGTCACAGTGATGTCATACTACGAAATCCCTCACTGAGCTGCAGACTGAATACGAATATTAATTGTCTTCATTAGACTCCTGTCTGAACAGGTGAACAGATGAACAGGTGATGAACAGATGAACAGGTGATGAACAGATGAACAGATGAACAGGGGTCTGTTTCAGAAAGCAGGTTCAACAAACTCTGAGTTAAAACCTTAACTCTAGGTTGGCCAACTCTGAGCTGTCAAACTCTGAGTTTTCGGTTTCAGAACAGGTGATAACACTTAGTTCAATCAACTCTGAGTCAAGGTAACCCTGAGTGAAG